ATGCTTCCTAGGTGCCAGACAAAAGGAGCTTTATAAATAAAGGTTTATTTTTATCAGTCCAAAACAAATCCAGAGGCAGAGACTCTTGCTGTCTGGCAGGTTATCAAGGATGAGTCAGCTGTGGGTCAAGGGCTCTGGCTTGGGAGTATAGCCGGGAGAGGCTGGAATGGGAGGGGACACCAGATGCCCAGGGGTCCTACTGACTGGGGGCCTCTGTGGACTCAGGTCAACAACTCGGCGTGGGGAAATGCAAGAACATATGCCAGAAGATGACCTCACGAATCCCGAAGACTTTGCTCATCGGCTATCAGGAATCCTGTGGGAGCACCATCATGTAGGTATCACCCGGGGCCTCAGAAGGCCCTGTAACATCTCAGCCCTCTCCTATCTGCCTCATCCTAGGCTTCCTGCCAAAGACCTTGGCAAGTGCCCCCTCGTTCCCCGCCCACAAGCTACCTCACTGACCTTATGATCAGTGCCAAACAACAGGTGAGGAATGGCTTCCTGCGTGGCCCACTCTGATCCAGGGCAGCACCCAGGACGGGGCTCCCTCTCAGGCCAGAGTCCTGTTTACACAGCCCTCAGCCCATTAGATCTCATGGAGGAGGTTGAGCGAGTGGCCTACCAGAGCAGGATCCAGACTCCAGCAGGTCAGCCAGGGGCCTTGGTCACTTCTTACCTCTACACCTCAGTTGCCTTATCTGGGAGATGGGTAGCAAGAGGATGAGAGGAGATGGAGGAACTGAAATGGTTGGCTAAGCCCTTGGAAGGCATGAGGGTGGCTGCCACCAAGTGACAGGAGAGTTCCCAGCATTCCCCTCTGGTCAGGAAACAGGCCAGTCAGTCATTTTCTACCTGGTCAGGTTGGTCCCTCGTTCTGTCTGGGGCACATGGTGAGTACTGCCCATTTGCTCAGTCCGAGTCTTCTCCAGGACCTACGGTGGCCCCCTGAGCAACCTTAGCCATGCAGGAAATGACCAGAGTCCTTTTGAACTCAGGCTCTGCTAGCGGAAGTCCAGCACTTCCTGTCCCCTAGACAGCTCCCCCAAGGAGTGAGGTTCCAAATGCATTCCTGCCTGCCCTCTCTGCTTCCCCACCACAGACTACTTCTTCCAGAGACCCCCCAAATACCTGCCTCCATCTTCTAAGGAGAGAGGAAGAGGGGACCATGGCACCCTTGGGAGTGCCATGGCTTCCCAGCATACCCCAGCTGGGCACACTTCTTTATCCCTGTCAGCCTCATCTTCCCACTGGTTAAATGGGGTTAGCGTGCTGGCTGCGGTGCAGACCGGGCATGACCTGCAGAGGCTGTAGCGTGGAATGAGAGTTAGCTCTGAGCTGCTGTTGGGACAAAGCAGCCACGCACAGCTTCATGGGAGGCTCCAGATGTAGACCACATTCGAGATCCTAGTGAGGATACTGTTCGGCTTTGGCTCTGAGAAGCAGCTTCAGCCTGAGGACAAAACCCTGAGGAGGAAGTTGGGGTCCAGAGAGCAGCCATCACCTCGGGACAGAGAACTTATGCCGCCCTGTCACATACTGGTGACCAAGAACACCTATGGCGTGCTGGGATATCAGAATCCAGAGCTGCTTGCCTTGATGGTAATGATGTGGCTATTGACCCTGTAATTATTCCTGAATTTTACGATGCCTGCTCTGACTCAGATGCTTTCTCTAGGTACTAGCTTACCCTTTATTTTGCTTCACAATAACACAGAAGTAGGGTTCCCATTTGCCTGGGGGCTTTCCTGGTTTTGAAAGGGGAAGTCCCTCAGGCTGAGAATGCCCGTTCTGAGGTGGTGGGTTCCCCTCCAGACCACAGGCATTCATGTCTCAGATAAGGGCTGGGAGACAGAGGGAATGGAGGGGTCCAACACCTCATGCTAGTCAGTCAGGACAGCTTCCCTGCAGGGTATGTGGGCAGCGCCCCACACCACCCCAGCCTGGCTGTCTAGAACCTGGGTATCACCAGCCCCCTGTCTTCCTTGTAGCTTGGAGACGAAACAGCACAGAAACTTCTGTGCTGACGTAAAGGAGCAATGGGTCCAAGATGCCATGAAGTACCTGGACCGCCAGGCCACTACCCCGACTCACAATGGTGGCAAGTTTGAGAAGTTGGTTAATATGACATCTGGGATCACTCTGCCCACCAGGGGACTGTCCCCATCTTCACCGGCAGAGCCTAAAGCCACAGTGAAAGGCCTTCCTTTGGAGCTGACTACTATTTCCCAGGAGGCCCAGAGTCCAATGGGGACTTCCCAGCAGCCGCCAGCAGCAGTGACTGGATCATCATCCTTAACTTCCAAGGCTCAGGATGCAGGGCTTGTGACCAGGCCTCAAAGCACTGGGATTTTTGAGGAGGCTACCATCCCTACCACCATTCGGCAGAGTTCTGCTATCTACCAATCTGAACCTAGACTCCAGGTTGAGGAGAAGTCTACTGAGCCCCTATCCACTACAGTTCCATCCACCCAGGCGCCCACCACTTTCCATGCAACCCCGGAGGAGAATGTTGGGTCTGAAGTCCAGCCCACATGGGTCCAGGGACAGAGCCCCAGTCTAGGGCCTGAGGAGTCCTTAGGGCCTGAGGAGACAAGCCAAGCTCATACTGATGATTTCCAGGACAGGAGGCCTGGCAACACAGTCCATCCCTCAGCGGCCCCCGCCTCCTCTGAAGGGACCCCCAGCCAGGAGCTGACACCTTCGAGTAGCTGGCTTCCCAAGTCAAAGGAGCCCATCCCTGCCACTTCGGCTCCCCAGAAACGGAGCGTATTTATCACTCCTGTCCCTGACACCCAGGCAGCCACCCGTAGGCAGGCAGTGGGGCTGCTGGCCTTCCTGGGTCTGCTCTTTTGTCTGGGGGTGGCCATGTTTGCCTACCAGAGCCTCCAGGGCTGTCCCCGCAAAATGGCAGGGGAGATGGTGGAAGGCCTCCGTTACGTCCCCCGGAGCTGTGGCAGTAACTCATACGTCCTGGTGCCGGTGTGAGCTGCCTGCCTGCCTGTGTCCCTAGTTTGATTCAGACAGCTGTCTGGGGACCCCCATCCTCATACCCACCTTCACCCAAGCTGGGGCAATGGGAATGGGGAGGCTGGGTCCTCCAGGAGCCGCGTGCTCCAAGCCCCCAGATGTGGCCCTGGAGGCTACCTTTTACCGTCCCCCACTCATCAGACACAGCAGGTGGCCTTCCAGCTTACCTATATTTGAGAGACTCCTCTGCTGCTGGCTGGTTGGAGGGGCCCTTGACATCCCAACCCCTAGTGAACAATTATTTATTGAATTCCCAGCCCCGTGACACCTGTTTCCTGTGAGCACCGTGGTCCGTCCATCTCACAAGCAGCAGGTCAGGCCCATCTGCCTGTCCCCCTGACCTCCTCACGTCTCCTGGGATTGCTGCAGTTGCCAGCCCCTCCCCCTCCTCGGCCAGCCACGGTGCTATCTCTCCCGTCTCTCCCTATCCCCTGTACAGAGCACACCACCACCACCACCACCACCACCATCCACACCGTGTTGTGTCCTTTCCTGCATGAGGTTAACGCTGTGTTTCCTGGAGCTCTCTGGGAAGGGAGATGAGCTTGTGTGGGGCTTTGATGCATTCCTCCAGACTGTGCTGTGAGGGCATGCTGCACCTGAAGGCAGGGTCTAGTCCCCACTCAGCTACCTGCACACCGAGGTGCCCCATCGGCAGAAGAAGCGTGGCCCAGAGATGGCAATGTCCCACAGCCCTGATACCGTCACTTTCTCTGAGATCCTTGTCCCCATCCCTGGATGCAACCCCAGCCCTGTCAACACTGATAGTCACTGCCATCCCACTGGACTGACAGACACCTTTGCCCCCTGTGACTCCGAGGGCTGGCAAGGGGTGGCTTGAGAGTTCAGGTCCTACCCTGTGGGCTCCCACATGGAGGCTGAGTTGGGTAGGGACTTGCAGGAACAGAGGCTAAACTCAGAAGGCCCCTCTGTGTCCTCACTAGGCACCCCTAACCCACTCAGCAAGATTACAGCCACAGGTCTGCCCAGCCTGAAGGACAAGCCACAGAAGGAAGAGGGTCACAAGAGCCTGGGAGGCGGGGAGTCCAGGGTAAGCACCTGGAGCAGCCATACACCTGATGTAAGTTTAGGGACCTGCACATGTGTGTGCACAGCCCAGGTGGTTAGGAGGCTGGGTCCCCTCTCTACTCTGAAAGCACTGTTCATGCCAACCTTTGCGCCACTACAGGCAGGGCCAGAACTCCCATAACATTCTCCAAGAGCCCTGTGAAAATTCCTGGAAGGGACTCTGCCCTGGGCACAGAGTGACTGATAAAAAGCCTCCAGCATGCCCAGCAGAGAAGAGTTGGGCAGCGCCCCCAGCTGGAGCTGGACTTGCAGACCTCGCCCCTCAGGGCCCCTTGGTGGCAGCTCTCCCAACCCTGCTCCTAATAGCCCTAACCCTTTACCTTCCGAGCCTCCCATGGGTGGGCTTCACCCAGTGACTCCCTCCTTGACAGGAAGCTCAGAAGAGTTGGCTCTGTCCCAGAGTAAAGAAGCCAGGCCCTTGGTGACCCTCCGTCCTGGGAAGCTTGTGGCAGGCTCTATTCTGGCTCCAGGGTATTCACTGTGGGCTGCAGGAGCATCAGCCTGGGTGCACTTTGTCCTGGCTCCTTCAGTGGGGAGCCTTCAAGGGTTGGGACGCCCCCTTCCCTATTGAGAAAGCTGCTGGGACATGCGGTCCCCTTGTCGGACTTTGTGGATCCTCCCCAGCAGGATAAGAGCCAAGATGACCTGGGGAGGACTTTGGAAGGAGTTGGTTAATCCTTTGGCTTTTTCAAGCATCATTACCAATGTCTGTGCCATTTTGTATTTTACTAATAAAATTTTAAAGTCTTGTGAATCAAATAAGGGTGCTTTCCGTGGGGCAGGCCTGGGGGGGGGCAGTGGGAGGGGGAGGGGCAGGAGAGGGGGCAGTTGGAGGGGGAGGGGCAGGAGAGGGGGCAAGTTCTGAGACCCTGTCTCTAGCTCATTTGCACCAGGGGCAGGGATTTTTATAGAAGGCGCTGCAGATGGGAATAAGGAGAACCAGGCCCTGGACTGGCTTGGTGCTGCCTTGCTGTGTAATGATGAGCCAATGCCTTCACCTCTCTGGGCCTCTATGCATGTGGGTGTGACTGGTCTCTTGGTCTGGCAAGACTCAGGATTCCTGTGGGTCCAACGCAGTGTCCCACAAACCACCACCTAGGTACCCCTGATAATGCTGCCACTTGTCTGGTGTCCACATTTTCCTCTATAGTGTCTCTACTCATTCTTGGTGTGTGTGTGTGTGTGTGTGTGTGTGTGTGTGTGTGTGTGTGTGTGTATGTGAAAGAGTGAGTGAGAGAGAGAGAGAGAGAGAGAGAGAGAGAGAGAGAGAGAGAGACTTTTTCAAGAAACCAGGAAGTTCATAGATATGACCAAAGTCTGAGCTGTTGTACGGGTTGAGAACAGCCCAAAGGTACCACGGATCAAGTCCAGCCTATTGGTGTCTTTTGTGACTTCTAAGATAGATATCTTTTTTTAAGCAGGGTCCTTCCTCTCTTCATTTTATATATTTATTTACTTATTTTTATTTTTGAAGTAGTACTAAGGCCCAGGGCCTCAGGCATGCTAAGCCGGTGTGGTACTCCTGATCTGCACCCTCGACTTTTTCCAACATTTTGTTTTGAGACATGGTCTGAGTTGCTCACACTGGCCTTGAACTCATTCTGTAGCCCAGGCAGGTCTTATAATCCTCTTGCCTCAACCTCTTGAGCAGTTAGGATTACATATTCTGTTGTTATTACCTATCAGAACGTCTTTCTAACAAGAACATCTTAAAATCAGAGGCAGCACGGGGCTGGAGAAGGAGCTAAGTAAGCAGATTCGATCACTTGCTGCTGCTCTTGTAGAAGACACAGGTTTGGTTCCCAGCATTCACCTCGAGCAACTCACAGGGGAGCTGATGCCTCCACAGGCACCTAACATACACATGCACACACCCACACATGCACATAAAATAAAACCAAGTCATTCTTTAAAAATAAAATTGGAGGCAGCATTTCAATTCAGCAAGTTGGCCACATACATTCATTTTTCTATATTCTCTCAATGACTCCGAAAGATCTGACCCCCTAGGCCTGTGTTCCCTCACAGTGCCAGGCCGAGGTTGGGGGTGGGAGTTAGAGGCTACACAACCTTTGCATTTCAACGTCTCTCACTCTCGTGCTCCAGGCTCATGGGCTCCATCGGCTCCATCTGTCATCCTCATCCTCTTGCTTTTCCCAGGGTAAGGATATGTTTCTCGGATCTCCTGTCTCTATCAAAAACACATCAAGGAAAGACAGACCATGATTTCACTTCCCTCGGTTCTGGGGCCTCCCTCACCCCAATGTTTCCTACCCATTTGCATCAGGAGCAGGGACTTAAAGTTCCTGAAGGAGAGGGGCTGCCTCCTCACCTCCGTGCAAGCCGCAGTCAGCTCTCCCTCTCTGATGGGAGCTCTTTAGACCTTCATCCTACTGACCTGATTCCCACATCCAAGAAGGAACCACTGCAGCCTGTTGTCCCAGGCCCTTCCCACCCTGCAAGACGTGGCCACAAGGGCTTTTGGCTGGCATTGCTGGAGGTGTGCGCTGCATCCTACGAAAGTTCAGGAAGAGGAAGGGAGTGGGGAAACTTGGATCCCGGTTCAGGGCTCCCCAGGGACCTTGCAGCACTGCGGCCTCGCATTTTCTCTTTCAGTTAGCAAGCTAGACTTAGTCAGGTAAAGCAATTCCTACCACCAATGCCAAGTTTGAAAGGGCAGATATTCTGAAACCCCATGCAATCATGCTGACAGCGACCATTCTTTCTTCCTGGTTTCCACATGCCAGGCTGTATGCCAAACTCTTGTGGTAGTGACCTTTATCATGCAAGTAAAGTTTGCCACGGATATGTGAACTCGGGCCGAGGGCGCAGCCCAGTGGTAGAGTACCTGGCCCTGTGTATCATCCCCGGGGCAAGGTATGGAGGGAGAAGTGTGACTTGCTCCAGTCCGCGGGTACTGCAGAGACAGCACGCGACCAAGCCTTCCTCCAGAGTTCAAATCTTAGGGAACGTGTCATTAGGCTTTGAGGGCTTTCGTTTTGGTTTGTGAGACCAGCTCGCCCTGTGTGGCCCAGGCTGGCTTTGATGCTCTCCCCCGACCTCCCCCTACTTACCTCACTGCAAGGAGTCCAGCAGGCATAAAGGACAGAGATACCTGCTGAAGGAAGCCTAGATAGTCTACCCTCCCGCCTCACCCTTCCAAGAGCTGGGACATGTGCCACCATGCCCAACTTGGCACTGTTCCTGAAAGCATGAGCCCCGGATTCTTAAATGTGCAGACTCCTGAGCCCCCTCAGACCTCCCGCACTTAGCCCCCAGGAACGTGGACCTGGACTTTCAGCATCAAGCTGCAGCCCCTCTTCCTCACCCTTTGCCTCCATCTCACACTCAGACTTTGCTATGGGGTCAGAGTTTCAAAGCCTGCAGCAGCAGGTGTGCCCCTCCCCCATCCCAGGGCATCAGGGACCCCAGGCAGTAGCCAGCCTCAGCTCTCCCACCACCTTAGGCTTTTTGCCCTTAGAGTAAGTAGCTCCAGTGTGCATTCCTAAGAAGGGCGAGGCCAGGCAGAAAAACACACAAACCAATGGCTGGGAATTTCCAGCTCTGAGCTGAATAATAGATGTTTTGGAGAGGGTGTGTGTGTGTGTGTGTGTGTGTGTGTGTGAGAGAGAGAGAGAGAGAGAGAGAGAGAGAGAGAGAGAGAGAGAGAGAATGTATGTGTTGTGTGTGCACACGTGCATTTAGAGTGTGTATGTTATATGTTCAAGAATGGTATGCACGTGCATACAGCTGCTCTGAGTGGTGGGGAGAACTCAGGGGCCTCAAGGGTCCATGCACACGTGCTCAGTAAATAATGTTTCAACTCCAAGGACCTGAAAACCTAGTTCCAGGCTGGCTTGCCTGAACTAGCAGCCAAGTTCAGCGGGTAGAACCCCAGAGGGACCTCTGTAATGTCAACACGTTTGCAGTCAGAGCTGCCTCTACAGCCAGGAGAATTCCAGATGCCCTTCCTTAACCTCCCGGGCACTCGGCTGCCCCTAGGGGGCAGCACAGAACTGTTCCAGATGAGGGCCTTGTCTCTAGCAATACAGGGACACAATACAACATGGGACTCGCTGGCTGTGTGACTTTGACTAAGTTACTTACCCTCCCTGGGTCTTGTTTTTTTCTCCTATATAAAACAAGAATGATAACTAATCTCAGAGTAGAGAAGTCATGACATAATCCTCACCAAACATTCAAGAAAAGTGATGTGTCCCAGTGGGTTCCCAGTAAGTAAACAGAACCCATGATCCATGTTTCCAAATGATTTCACACACACACACACACACACACACACACACACACACACACACACACACACACACACACCCCGCTTTGAAGGCATGATCTTGGGGTCTGAAGAGATGGCTCAGTGGTTAAAATCACTCTCTGCTCTCCTGGAGGACCTGGGCTCAGCTCTCCCACCCACGGCAGGCAGCTCAGAACTGCTTGTATAGGGGATCTGACGCCCTCTTGGCTTCCAAAGGCACCATATCATGTACACATACTCACACAGAGACATACACATAACAAATAAATAATAAAGGACATCTTTGAAAAACAAAAAAAGACAAGGTCTCACATAGGCCGGATGGGCCTTGAACTCACTGTGTAGCCAAGGGTGACCATGAATCCCTAATCTTCCTGCCTCTCCTCCCAAGTGCTGGGATTGCCACCATGCCTAACTGGGGAGGTGTGGTGGTGGTAGGGGGGGATATCACATGTTGCCAGGGCTGGCCTCAAGCTACTAGGCACAGGATCCTCTCAACCTCAGCCTCCCAAGTCTCTGGGAATACAGTTGCTATCGGGTATTCAAATAAGAGCATAGAATCACAGAGTGACCGTAAACAAATACAGTCTTCCCAGTCTTCAGTTTAGTAAAGAAATATAGTGTGTCAGAGCCACACATCGCTCCTGTCTGCTTGTGCCTGTAGTCCCATCACTAGAGAGGCAGAGGCAGGAGGATTGCTGAGAGTTCAAGGCCAGCCAGGGCTATAGTGTGAGACCTATCTCAAAAAAAGGAAGAGGAGGAGGAAGAGGAGGGGAGAGAGAGGGAGGGGAGAAGGGAGAAAAAAGACATTATGGTATTATTAAGCGGATAAGAATAATCTGTAATTTGGGGCTGGAGAGATGGCTCAGTGGTTAGGAGCGTTGACCACTCTTCCAGAGGACCTGGTTAGGTTCCCAGCACCCACGTGGTGGTTCACAAGCATCTCTAACTCCAGTCTCAGATTCTCAGGGAATCTGACACCATCTTCTGGCCTTCTCAGACACTGCAGGAACATGGATACACATCCATAAACATAAAACAAAAATACATAAAATGTCAACAAAAGAATAACCCTCAGTTTGCACCATTTCCCCAAGCTGTTTCTTGCTGTTCAAGTGGATAGGGGTTTTCTCCTCTCTATGGTTTTGAACCTAGTAAAGTAAAATTATTGAATCACGCCGGGTGGAGGTGGCGCACGCCTTTAATCCCAGCACTCGGGAGGCAGAGCCAGGCGGAGCTCTGTGAGTTCGAGGCCAGCCTGGGCTACCAAGTGAGTTCCAGGAAAGGCGCAAAGCTACACAGAGAAACCCTGTCTCGAAAAACCAAAAAAAAAAAAAAAATTATTGAATCACGAATAATTCAAACCAGACTCTGAAGATGCTTAGACAGAAAGGGAAGTTTTTAGGTTTTCAAGTCCTTGGGGACTGGGATTGTTGTTGATGTCCCTGGAGTGCTGCCTCTCAGGCATATGACCTGGCACTCCTCTTGGGCTGGTTGGGGCTGAGCCAGCAGCTCTGGTGAGTAAGACGGGAAGCAGCGTGTGGGTCTCAACTCCGCAGAGTTTGTGTCGGCTGATTAGATGGACTCCCATCAGAGCCTCCGCACTGCAGGGAGCAAGTGGAGCCTTCAGTGAACGCACGCGGTCCACATGGCCATGTCAAGGACCCAAATGCCTTAGCCCCGTGGGAGTGCCAAAGCCTTCCCCAGGTGAGGCTCAGAGGGATGGCGAAGCCTTCCTTGGGTCCAAGTGAAAATATTGACAGCGTGTGCAGACAGTGCCCCCCCTAAGCTTTCTCTCTCCCGACTCCCATGTTCATGGCCTAAGGACTGCTTCTCTGCAGAACCTGCCCCCACTGCGATCAGCCAAGCCTGCCTCCTTGTTGAGCTGTGTGCAATCACCTTGCCTCTTCATGTATCTGTGTGTAACAACCCTGCCTCCCTGTGCAGCTGTATATATAAGCATACCGCGTCTCTGGGGTGCTGGGGCTTCTCCATCAGATGTTCCTGTCATTTCTTCATCGCCTCCAGTTAGGGTTCTGGGACGGAAGCCATGCAGAAAGAGGCACGGGACCACTGGCTCAGCCCAGGAAGTACCTGGGACGTGGAGTGTCTGGCTGTGGAAAGAGGCCAGCTGATCAACACAAACATGCAGGGTTAGAACAAATAAACCGTTGTGGTTTTAATCTGGGAGGGTTGGAGGTTATTTATGAGTCAGCATAACCAGTCCATCCTGGTGGTTCCAACACCATCGAGAAAGACAACCTTTGCTTGGAGGTTGACTGGGCATGATGCCATTCAAAGGCATCTTCTGATTTGGACACAGGTCTTGTATCACAGGCATCCATTTGGCCTTGAACTTGCTATATAGCAGAGGATGACCTTGAACTCCTGCTCTTCCTATCTCCAGGTTCCAAGTGCCAGGATTGCAGGCATGCACCACCATACCTAACTGAACACTGTCTCTTAATGGACATAAATATGCTGCCCACATGCTGGCTCTTTCCTCTTTACCCACCCTCAATGAAGAGGGCATGGGCATCTACATGGGCCTTCGGCTGCCTTTGACACTCATCAAATGGGTTCTAATGACCTGGATGAACTCACAAGGGAATAAACAGAGAGAATGCTAACACCATCAGGCACAGCTCTGCCAAGCACCCTGGTCAAGCTAATGCTTTTCTGGTACATTCTCTAAGTCCAGACGTGGAAACCTGGGGGCAGAACTCAGAATGCATTGTCACAGTTCTGGAGCACTTTCTGTATCAGTGTCCTACGAAGATTCCGTTGGTCAGCTGAGCCCCAGCTTTGCTCACCCGTGTGGTCCCTGCATCCATGTCCCCTGCTATGATGGTTATTTTTTGTAGTCAGCCTGAGTCCATCTGGGGTTAACTAAAAACCCAAGCTGGGCACACTTGTGAGGGATTTTTCTTGATTGGACCATCTGAGGTTGGAAGACCCACCCCAAATCTGGGCCATACTAGGCAAGGCAACCTGTACAGAGGACGCAGAAGGAAGACGCTTTTGAAAGCCAGGCTAACTGTTCTTGTTAACTGAAGCGTCAACCCAGAACATGGTTTTTGTGCTCACAAGCTCACCCTGAGAAAGGCTCAGGGCTACGCTGGGATCCAAAACACCCAGTGTAGTTGCTGACTGGCTAATAAAGACTTTCTATTGGCTTAGACCCATGTCCAAGCAGTCTTCTCTGGTGAATACCTCACAACAGTGATGAAGGGATTTTCAGGCTCATGGGAACCATGATGCTAGAGTGAGTACTTTGTGTAAAACCTAATCCTCTGAAGTGGGAAGGCCTGGAAGACATGCCCTTCACTAATCCTATAAGATGCAAAATGGTGAGGGGGCAAACACAACTCTGAAGAGCTTTGTAGCTGCCCTTTCCTTGGGCCGGACCTTAGGGTCAGAGATGCTATTGGGTGATTGAATTCAATGGGTTTCATTGGGCCCCAAAGTAGCAGCGGTCCGGTAGCATTACTGAATGCTAGCAGCAAGGTGATTGTAGTTACCATAGGCAAAGCAATGTCCATAATGGCCTGACCTGTAATGAGTAGCACAAGCAAAGTGAATATCTATATAGTAGCATGACTTGTATGGACCTTTGGCAGTGACTAGTCAGTCATAGTGTTTCCAAGCATGTAATAGATAGGAAGCCGACTGCATTTTCGCTTGATCTGTATAAGCGGAAACAATCCCACCCCCCCCACCCACCCCCCCCCCCCCCCCCCCCCCCGAGACAGGGTTTCTCTGTGTAGTTTTGGTGCCTGTCCTGGAACTCACTCTGTAGACCAGGCTGGCCTTGAACTCAAACTCACAGAGATCTGCCTGGCTCTGCCTCCTGAGTGCTGGGATTAAAGGTGTGTGCCACCACCGCCCAGCTGGAAACAATTCTTAAACAAATGAAAGAAAGGCTACATTGGATCATGGCAAAAGGGAGTCTTGGCCTGTGAATTGATTTTCAGACTTGAGCCAGTGTTCAGGCCCAGAACCCCTTGACTGAAGGGAAGGCAGGTTCCCTGAGGAAGGACCTTGATGTAATGCCTTTCCCCAGTTGTTCGGGACCCATGGCCTTTTACAAGGGTGTCTTTACCCTGGGGGAAAGGAAACAACTGAACTTTCTGGGTCTGCTAGATCCTGGTTCTGAATTTATTCTAATTCCAGGAGACCCCAAGAAACACTGTGGCCCTCCAGTTAAAGTAGGAGTTTATGGAGGTCAGATGATTAATGGAGTTCTGGTTGAAGTCCGTCCGACTCACAGTAGGTCCAGTGGGTCACAGAACTCATCCTGTGGTTATTTCCCCAGTGCCAGAAAGTGTAATTAGGATGGATATACTTAGAAATTAGCAGAATTTCCACTCTGTTTTTCTGACCTGTGGAGTGAGGAGTGTTATGGTTAGAAAAGCTAGATGGAAGGCCTTTGTAGTTATCTTTACCAGGGAAAATAGCGAACCAAAAACAGTATCGTGTCCCTGGAGGGATTGCAAAAAAGTGCCACAGTCAAGACTTGAAAGATGCTCGGGGTGGGGGTGGGGGTGGGGTGGGGGTGGGTTCCCACCACATCTCCCTCTAACCTTCCTCTTTGACCTGAGCAGAAGACAAACAGATCATGGAGAAAGACAGCTGACGGTCGCAAACTTTACTCAAGGGTGGAAAGGGACAGTTCCACTCACTATCACCCCTACTGACACACTAGAAAATTTTTGCTTTCTGTTCCAGAGATCTTAAATTCTGCTGAGTTTTGGTTCCAGCGTGGGGAGTGCTCAGCCTGGAGATACAGCAAACGTTTCACTGAACTGGAAACCCAGACTTACCACTGGCCACTTTGGGCTTCTGAGGCCTAAGCCAACAGGCTAGGAGGGAAGGAAGAGCGCCAGGAGGACTGATTGATCCCAATTACCATGGGGAAATTGGATTGCTTCGCACTGGAGATAAGGAAAATTACATCTGGAGTGCAGGAGATATGTGAGGGCATCTCCTGAAGTTATTACACCCTGTGATTAAAACTAGACAACCCAATACAGTCAGGCTGACAAAGAACTAAGACCTGGGGAGGTGCTTGCTGAGGGTGGAGGAAATACAGAATGGGTAGTAGAGGAAGGCAGGTACAAATGCCAGCTAAGGCCACGTGACCAGTTGCAGAAACGAAGATTAAATTCACAAGCATGTTTCTGTGGTATTTTGTTAAGAATGTGTTTATGCAGACATCTGTTTTCTTTCCTTGATTACTTTATCATGTGATGTAACATTAATTGAGGCACTATCAGTGCCTCTCATATTTAAGTTACGAGACACTCCAAGAATGTCCCTCAAGCAACATTGCCACCTGTTCGAAAATGCATGAAGTGTTTGAGGTTGTACGTGGGGTAATTATATTCTGTTAGGCATAATTATGGCCTGCTTATTGTTCTCATTTGGCATAAGGAGATACGAGTGTGCGTCAAGGGGTCAAATTGTGATGGCTATTCTCGGTTGTCAGTTTGATTACATCTTGAACTAAATAGAAATCCACACAGCTGGGCACACCTGTGAGGGGTTTTTCTTGATTGGATCATTTGCGGTGGGAGGACTCACCTAAATCTGGGCCACACCTTCTCTTGGTACCCCACATACCGGACATGGAGGAAGGAAGCCCTGCTCTTTGCCTGCTTGCCCTTACTCTCACTGGCAGGTCCGTTCCTTCGCTGGCGTCAGAGCCTACTTCTTTGGAATCGCAACGGATACTGAAGACCAGCTGAGACTTGCGGCCTCGCGGCCTGAACAACTACGGGTTTCTTGGGCTTTCTGTTGAGAGGAAGACATTGTTGGACCAGCTGCACCACAGTCTGTAAGTCTTTTATTTTGTATTTTATTTATTTGGCTTTTTTTTTTTTTTTTTTTTTTTTTTTTTTTTTTTGGCTTTTTGAGACAGGGTTTCTCCGTGTAGTTTTGGTGCCTGTCCTGGATCTCACTCTGTAAACCAAGCTGGCCTTGAACTCACGGAGATCATCCTGGCTCTGCCTCCCGAGTGCTGGGACTAAAGGCGTGTGCCACCACCACCCAGCCTTCCTCTAAGTCTTTTCCTGAATTCCCCTTGTGTATATACAGATTATTCTATCAGTTCTCTTCCTCTACAGACCCTGACTAACACACCCACCCACCCCTTGGGTCACACACTTTGTAGGACCTCTTGCCTGGGATAGACAGATTGCCCGTCTTTGTTCCCCTACTAACTCCCAGTCACCTTTGACTCGAGCGTCACTTCTTTCAAAGGCCTTTTCTTTTTCTCTCTCTTTTTTTTTAAATTTTTTATGATTCTTTGTGGATTTCACATCAAGCATCCCAATCTCACTCATCTCCCTGTCCCTTTGCTTCTGCTTCTGCTCTCTGCCCTTGAAATCTCCCCCAAAACAAAACAAAATTTGAAAGTTAAAAACAGAAACAAACAACAACAACAACAACATACAAAAAAAATCTTGGCATGGATGCTGTAGTGTAGATGTAACCAACCGTCTTATTAAATAAGAAACACAGAACCCATGCAAAGAAGAAAGCCAAGAGATCAGAGCTAAGAGCCTTACCCGTCTGCTGCAGCTAGCCTCTTCAGCCAAGAGAGACCTACTTCCTGAGTGTTTGTCTTTATATAGACTTTCTGTTCTGCCTTCTCATCGGTTGTAAACCCAACCACATGACCACCTCGTCACTGCCTGTTTGTACAGACCTCCAGATTTTCTATGGTTGGTATTGAGATTAAAGGCATGTGTCTCCAATGCTGGCTGTATCCTTGACCACACAGAGATCTACCTAGCTCTGCCTACCAAGTAGGCAGATTAAAGGCGTGCACCACTAACGCCCAGCTCTGCTATGGCTTGCTATTAGCTCTGACCCCCAGGCAACTTTATTAACATACAAATAAAATCACATTTCAGTACAAATAAAATATCACCATACTGTAGTGTGGTCACATAGTTTACCTTTTAGTCCATATGTCTTTACTTGCAAGTGTTCATTGCAGGGAGTTGTTGGTCTGGTTCCAGGCCTCCGGCTTCTGCTGCACTATCAATACTGGGCTCTCACTGGGGTTCCTTGGATATCCTGCTGTTGTCTTGTGTTCTGGAGATCCAGCAGGTCTGCAGGTCCGGCCCCCTTCACGTGCTCCAGCAGTTCATAGAGGAGGTGGATGTTGGGCTGGGCTATCTTGTAGTCCTGGTTCTGGACATGGGTGGTACATGGGTTGGTCAGCCTACCAGCTTTCCCTCATGGTCACAATTGGGACAAGCTTTCTAGTCCTGGCCCACCCAGCTAGCTCACCCAATGCAGTAGGCAGCAAGGAGCAGGGCCAGCTCTCCTGCTCTCACACCCTTGGGTCCAGCTCACCCACACTCACACCACCAGGGTCAGCTCTACTGTTCTGCCCAGGAGAGGTGCAAGGCCCGCTCTCCTGATTGCTGCAGTTGGTGAGGGGCAGGGCCATCTCTTTGGTTCTCATCTAGAGGCTGGCTCGCCTGCCTGCCACAGGTGGCAAGGGGTGAGAGGGAGGGCATATTTCCCTCACCCATGCCACTATGTGACAGACAAGGGGCACAGGATGGGCTCTCCTGCTCTCACACCCTCTGGGCAGGCTCACCTGCGCCCCCACCAAGAGGGTCCGCTCTACTGTGCTGTGCGGCAGGGTGCAGGCGCTGCTCTTCCGAGTGCTGCTCCCGTGAGAGGCAGTACCAATTCTCCCACTCTCATGACCTCAGGGCCAGCTCTCCCACTTGCCACAGATGGCGATGGGTCGGGGAGGTCAGCTTTCCCTCAGCCACCCACCATGTGGCAGATGATCTCCCACACACGTTCGAGGCACTGGATCTCCCGCACCTCCATCAACAGGGTCAGCTCAGCTCTACAGTGCTGACTGGGGTTGGTGCAGGGCCTGATCTCTCAAGTGCTGCAGCCGGGGAGGGGCAGGATCAGCTTTCCCACTCTCATGACCCCATGAAAGAACAAACAGCCGGCGGCGGCGGCGGTGCACGCCTTTAATCCCAGCACTCGGGAAGCAGAGCCAGGCGGATCTCTGTGAGTTCGAGGCCAGCCTGGTCTACAGAGCGAGCTGCAGGAAAGGCACAAAGCTACGCAGAGAAACCCTGCCTCGAAAAACAAAACAAAACAAAAAAAAAAGAAAGAACAAACAAACAAAAACAGGGCTGGGGATGTAGCTCAGTGGAAGAATGCTTGTTGTCTATGCACAGGGCCCCGAGTTCTGTCTCCATAAAAAATTAAAGTTCTGTTGATCACATAGGACTTTTTTCCCTTATCGTTTATTACTCCCTAGCAGTCCTGGGTAGACGCCGTTCACACGGTGCTTACGTAACAGCAGACAATGTAAGTGATCATCTAGAGATGAGTGTGTAGGAGGAAGAGCAGAGAGGCTGGGCAAATACTGTGTCATTTCACATCCTTGGATGTTGGGTTCCTCAGTGAGCCCTGGCTCCACCCCCCTGAGGTACCGTGAAACAACTGTATATTAAGGTGTACATATTGCTTAGAGAAATACAAGGGAACATGTGGGGCCAGCAGATGCCCGACTCTGCTCTTCCTAGAGGATGTGACTGGAGGAGAAGCTGCATGTTCGGGGACGTGGCTAACACATCTGGGTGCCTGGAGGGACACATGGACATAGCTCACGGTGCTGGTGCCTGACTGGCCTGGTTCCCTTCGGTTGGTCTGACTTCTCATATTTCTGAGCAGCCTGGGGCAGCATGCTGAAGCTCCCCTTCTGCTCTACCGCTTCCCCCTTATTCTCCAATTCCCTCACCATCTCCTTCCCCACTGTATGCTGGGGTTTTGGTATTTTTGTGCTTGAGAGTGAACCCAGGGCCTCATATATATCCAGACACAAAGGCTATACCACTCATTCACATCTCTTTTGAAACTATTTCAGTTATTTATGTATATGGATATTTTGCCTGCATGTGTATCTGTGTACCACTAGTGTGCCTGCAGCAGCCAGAAGAGGGCGTCACATCCCTTGGGATTGGAGTTAACAGACAGCTGTGAGCCACTGCATGGATGTGGGCACCTGAATTCAGGTCCTCTGAAAGAGCAACCAGTGCTCTTAACCACTGAGCCATCTCCCCAGCAGCAGGAGTCCAGTGCTACTTTTACTTTTGTATTTTGAAACAGGGCCTCACTAAGTAGCCCAGGCTGGCCTTAAACTTGTGATCCTCCTGCCTCAGTCTCCCAAATAGCTGGATTACAGCCCTGTGCCACCAGGACCTACCTATGCATCCTTAAAGACCCACCTAAGAACCTGGAGGTGATGGCACATGCCTTTAATCCCAGCACTCAGGAGGCAGAGGCAGGCAAATCTCTGAGTTCAAGGCCAGCCTGGTCTACAGATCATGTTCCAGGATGGCCAGGGCTACGCAGAGAGGAAGGAGCCCCACCATCTGCTCCTGGGGAGAGAAAAGGTGGGGAATCTGGCTGGGGAGGACAAGGGGAGTAGAGAGGATGAATGGGGCAGATGTCCGTCCTCCCTGAGGAATCTGTAAAGCCGATGCAACTCCAGTTATCTGTGGAGGTGGATTCAGCTCTGCTAGCTCCATTTAAAAATAGAAGCAGCGGCGCTCAGCTGAGATCTGGAAGGAGCCCAGGCGTGGCAGGAAGAGGGGGCTGTGCAGCAAACAAGACAAGAAGAAAGCTGTTGCCCCTTCTGGCTGAGGCAGAGGCTGTGGGGTGCCAGCTTCTCTCTGGAAAGGGGTCTCCAGGGTCATGGTTCCTCGGTCTGGACCCTGCTCCGAAGGAGCCACCCTTCCCAATCCTGTCTGCTAGGGAAAGGTATGAAGTGGTTATGAGGTCAAATTGCCAAGTGTTGATGAGGCTTGACCCATCTTCCTGATGGCCTTTGGATCTACCTGGGATTGGGTAAGGTTACAGGGGGATCCTTCAACACAAGCCTTTTAACCAGGCCACATCCAGTAGGTTCCTCAGAGTCTAGACTACACCCCCTTAGACCTGGGTGCCTAGCGCTGGCCCTGGTGCTGAACTAAGAGGGTCTGAATGGGCAGGAAAGAGGCCCTAGCAGCCCAAACAAGCTGTCACCCTATGAGCAGACTGCTGACTTCTCAATGGCTTCTTTCATTGCACTCATCAATTGAGCCTTGAGCTGTTCCAGTTCAAGGACCAAGGACCTGCCTTTGAAATAACCAGGCAATGGAATAAGTGCTCCTTGGGACTTATACGCTGGAGGGAGTTCAGTATCCTGAGACCCAGACATTAGAGTTGTGGGGACAGGCTCATCATCATGAGTGAGGGGATGGGGACCAACTGCACTGAACAAAGGACACATTTCGACCCAGTGGGAACGTGGTCTGGGTGCAGCTGGGAAGCAGGTGACAAGCAGCAGACCCGAGAGGAAGTCCGCAGTAGAATGCAGGAAAGGAAGAAGTGCCCGGGAGATGTGAGATGCCGGCTGAAACAGGGGCGCCTCGTGGGACATCCGAACAAGGATCTTGAGGCTGTGCAGAGAGGTCTTCAGACTGTTCTTCCGGGAGAGAGTGTGAAGTCAGTGTGGAGGCCAGAGAAGGGAAGACTCAAGAAGGCCGGAGTGGCACAGGAGGGCTGCGGGCTTGTTCCCTGAGTGAACACAGAGCCTCGGGAGATTTCTAAGCACAGAAGAGCTGTGACTTCTGGGCTACTGTGCTGGGGACAAAGTGCAGAGCAAGTGTGGCAGAAGAGGCCAGGAGGTGGATGAAGGAATCCAGGGGAGAGAGAATAGAATCTGAGTCTCTGACGGCCACACTGAGAGCTCTCCAGCAGATGTAATGCAGGGAGAGAGGAAGAGACGGTAAGACAGCACCCAGGCTTCTGGCCCGCTCAGCCGGAAGGAAGGGGCTGGTGGAGAATGGGGGAGAGGAACAGGAGTGGGAGTGAGGGAATCGGGAACTCAGCTTTGGACATGGGGGTTGAAGATGCCTATTTGGTGTGTTGAGTAGGAAGCTGGATATTTGAGTCTGCAGTTTGTGAAAGTCGGAGTCACCGGCACATAGATGGCATTTAAAAATCAGGAACAGGCTCAGTTTGCTGGCTATAGTCACAAAAGACACCGTAGACTTTTGATGTCATTGCTATTATTATTTTCATCTTGCAGATGTAGAAACTAAGGCTCAGAGGGAGGTGACTTTGAACCCAAAGTGAATGGTAGACTGGAGTCCCAGCCAGTACCCAGCTTACTGTTTGCTCCTAACTCCAAGGGGCACTGGCCTCGCATCTTCCAGGATATTATGCTCAAGGAGTGGACAGATTTGGAGACATCCTTCAGGACTGAAAGGGACAGCCACCCAGAGATGGAAGGACATGGGGGGCCTGTGCTGTCAGCTTTTCTGCCCCTGTGACGAACACATGGGGGAGGCTAGTCAGAGGAGGAGGGACTAGCTTGGCTTGTGTCTTTAGTGTGTTCACTCAGGTCTGTGTGGAGTCAGAAAAGCATGACAGAGGGACATGATGGAGCAAGGTTGCTTGTCTCAAGGAGGTCGGGATACAGAGGAAGTGATCCAGGATACTTTTACAGGGCACAGCCCGCCCCTGTGATCTACTTCCTTTATGCACACCCCATTTTCTCACAGCCCATTTAGTTGGAATTCATCAGTGGATAAACCAAAGAATGTTAGCACCCTTGTGAGCTAATCACCTTTCTCTTTAATTTTTTTTAAAATCACTGCAAAAAATTATTGTGTGTGTGTGTGTGTGTGTGTGTGTGAGAGAGAGAGAGAGAGAGAGAGAGAGAGAGAGAGAGAGAGAGAGGCAGAGACAGAGACAGGGACAGGGACAGAGACAGAGAGATGTGCCACCATGTGCCTGTGGAGGTCAGAGGACAGCTTGCTGGAGTTGGTTCTCAGCTTCTACCATGTGGGTTCCTAGGATCAAACTCCGGTCATCAGGTTTGGCAGCAAGTGCCTTTAGCTACTGAGCCAAACTGCCATGCCTGTTTATTTTATTTTATGCGTATGAATGCTTCCTGTATGTGTGTATGTATAACACTCGTATTCCTGGTGCCCAGAAGGAGATGTCTGGTCCCCTGGAACTGGGGAATTACAGGTGGTTGTTGTGAGCTAACAAGTGGATGCTGGGAACCAAATCTGGGTCTTCTGGAAGAGCAATAAATGCTCTCAACTGCTGAGCCATCTCTCCAGCATGAACATATAAGCCTTTTGGGAGACATTTCATATATCCAAACCATACAGAACCATTTATGGCTACTTTTTGGGGGGAGTGGGGGAAGAAGGGTTTCTCTATTTAGTCCTGGCTGTCCTGGAACTCACTATGTAAACCAGGCTATCATTGAACTCACAGAGATCCATCTGCCTTTACTTCCTGGGTGCTGAGATTAAAGGCATGTGCCACCGCCCTGGGTGATGGTTACTTTTTGGGAGAGGATAGCATCTCATTTGTAGCCTAAGCGGGTCAATCCTCCTTCCTCAGTCTCCTGGATACTGGGGTTATAGGCATGCAACACTGTAACTGTTCCACTGATAATCCTTAGTGAGACACCCCATGGTCAAAGCGGGCGTGTGCAAACGTCACCAGGGGCAGGTATGCAGGCTAGACCGCAGTGGAAGAAACTTCCCGGGAGGAAGTGGGCCCTGTGGGCTGTATTGTGTGGGTGGTAGGGAAGAGAATGAGGTGGTGGAGTGAGGAGGAGGTGAGGAACACTGACAGAGAAGAGCCTCTGTCTGACGAGGTGTGGGGGCTGGAGGCCTGGAATGAGTCAAGGGCAAAGCTTCAGCCTGGGGGATGACGGCAGGGAGGAGAGAATGCTGCGCGTTTTTGAGGGGAAGCTGGTCGCCGTGGGAACTTGGTCCCGAGGCTGAGTGAATCTGGAGAGGATGGTGTTCTGCCTTCCAGGAGCATGTTACTGGGACAGACTTCACAGATCTGGCAGAGGAGAAGGCGAAGGATTGGGAGAATTCAGACAGACAAGTGATGAGTCGGAAGAAGCAGGGGCCCAGTGGTCAGTGTCCGGCACTGCCGGTGTAGATTAAGGAAGCCTTTGTCCAGAGGACAGAAGCTTGGAGAAGGTAACATAAGGAGGGTAGTGGGGTGCTTGGGGTAAAAGTGAAGTCTAGAACAGAGGCCTGGGCATGCTCCTGTGACTTGCTGGCCCTGTGCCCTGGGGTCAGTTTCTAAATCTCTCTGAAGGGTCCCACTTTCTCATCTGAAAATGCAGAGGATCCTGTGGCTGTCCTGGGGACGACTTAACCATGAGCTGTCATTGTTGAGTGCCTACTGGTCCATTGTGGGAACACAGGGGTGCTCCTGTGGAGGGAGCCCCAGGGAGCCCAGGGGAAGAATCCCACATCCCAGAGGGATGGAGTATCAGGAAAGGAGGGAGCTCTCAGTGGGAGCTTGCAACAAGCAACTTCACCTCAGCTCATTCACCTATAGCACCTTGGTGGAGTGTCCGGCATCGTACCCATTGCGTAGACAGAAGGGCGAGGGTCACAAAAATGTCCTTGACTATACCAATGTGAACAGATGGAAGAGAGAGACAGGACCCAGGAATGGCAATGCTGATCCCAGGGTGTCTGCTGGGTGGCCACACGACCTGGGAAGAGTAGCCTTGGAGGCCCACATAGAGCAGCCTCCCTCCAACCACACTGCCAAGGAGCCGTCGCCTCCCAGTGGGTGGGGGGAAGTACTAGTGAGAAGGGTGGGACCACAGGATGGAGAAGGTGGTGCTGTCAGTGAAAGAAGAAGTGGGGAGGCATGGAGAAGGGCGTGGGTCAGGCATAGTTCTTTACGAAGCAGGGGGATGGGTGGGGAGGGCTCCTGGGGTCCTGTCATGGCTGGCGTGTGTGGATCCTCACAGGTGGTAACGGTTGCTATTATTATCAATCACTATTGTGGCCATTGTTTACTTCCCCTCACCTGCTTCTGGCAGATTTTTCTGCCAGAAGTTGAGTCAACGCCAAAGCTGTGGATGAGAAAGGAGGCCCCTCTGGGATGAAGGAAGGTTGTGTGGTCCCAGCTACCACAGAAGCAATTCAGCTTCTCAGGCATGGCCACACCCCACAGGAAGCTGTGAGCTAGATAAGAAGTCACGTCTACACCCTACCTACCCTGAACATATATGCCCGGTCTCCTCACGTAAAAAGCATTTAGCTCAGTTCTCTACCTCATTCAAGACAGAGAGACTCCAGGGAGACTCATGAATAGTAGATCACACCAAAACAATAAGTTAAATCCCATATGGTGGCTCACACCTAGGATCCCAATATTTGAGAAGCTGAGGCAGGAGAATTGTGACTTCAAGGCCAGCAGGGCGACATTAGTGAAACTCTGATGATGATGATGATGATGATGATGATGATGATGATGATGATAATTTGTTAAACTGGGCATGGTGTTGCATCCCTCTAATCCTAGTACTCAAGAAGCTAAGGCTAGAGGATTATGAGTTCAAGACAGCCTGCACTACATAGGAAAACAGATAGTAAAGCAAAATAAACAAATAATTGTTCTGAAGTGAAGGAGCTGAGCATGAATTTGCCTGCGGTTCAGAAACTGGTAAGTGGCCATGCATGTGTATGTTCATCTCCTGGTCCATCTATATGTTCATCTCCTGGTCCATCTGCACACTCGTTCACCCACATATCCACCCATCCAGTCATTGACCCACCTTCCAGCCAACTACATACCTCTTCCATTCATTAGTAGATGCATTTTGCTGAGCACCTACTAGGTCCTCTAGGTGCCAAGGGGTCCTTGTTTCTTGTGGATTCCAGTCTTTTGAGTGTAAGGCAGCATACTATGCAGTGTGAAGACAGGCATAATAGGAAATTAATGACGTCTGAACACACAGTAAATTGAGGGGGGGGGCGTTCAAAGGCATGAGAAGGAATCCCAGTTGTGATCTGAAGAAGACTAGAGTGAAAGGAAGGTGGGGTGGGGGTGGGGTGGTGATGGTGTGGGGGGTTGGTGGGGATGGTGGTGGTGGTGGTGGTGATGGGGGGAGGGGGGTGGAAGTGGTGATGGTGGTGGTGGTGGTGGTGGTGCGGGGTGGTGGTCAAAGCTTTAGACAGGAGGAGCAGCCCTGGGTGCCAGCTAACTGGAAGCTGAGCCACAGGAGGTGGTAGGCTTCAGGAAGGGCTGAGGCCAGGGAAGTAAAGAGGGAGGTGATTCCATGAGGGTCGTAGAGATGTGGGGAGTAGCCTTCCTCAGATGATGTTGGGGAAAGAGCGCTGGATGTTAGAATTGAGGGCTTCCTGGACAAGGCCCTGGGATGACACTTCTGCCCCAGACCATTGAAAGCATCAAAGAGCTTCCAGCCCAGCTACCTGCTCTGTGGCGTAGGGCATCCAAATTTTGACTCAAACCTTAGGAACAGGGCTTTCTCCAATCCTAGGAAGAGTCTACAGGAACACTTCCTACCTTTCAGGGTAAAAGACCCAGAATTCCACTGGTCCAGCTCCTTCTGGCCCAAACAGGGAGCATTCCTAATACCTCTAGCAGCTAGAGTCTCGCTGGTTTCGCCCCAAGGACTCCCTTGAGGCAGGAGCTCAGAGGTGGAGGCAGGCGAGGGAGCCAGAGCACGCACAGGTCATGAGTCTGGCTGCCTTTAGGTGGACGGGTCTGAATACGGCATGCCCAAAGATGCTTGGACATCCCATTTGGAAGGTCCCCAGGGAATCCACTTCATTGCTGGAATAATGGGGCAGGTCCCATGCGGCTAATCCCTGGTGAGGAGAGTCCCTCGCAAATGTCCCCAGCGGCAGGCAGCGTTGAACTGGCCTGGCCCCTGCATTCACCTCTTCTTCCTTGTCCGCATTCACCAGTTAAGGAGTGTCACACTGTGCATGCAGCTCTGGTCTAGTGGCTGGGCTGCCTCCCCAGGGCTCCACACTAGTCCCCCAGCTTGTCTCTGCGTGTGCTCCCCTCTGTGCCCTGGGTATAAATGTCCCTTCCCACCCCTAGGAATTCTACCTGCAAGGACCTGAGAGTTGCCACTCCTCCAAAGTGCCCTTATCACCTGCAGCCCCTTCCCATTTCCTGGGGAACCTCCCCAAGAGCAGGGCATGAGCTGCAGGGGCACACCAGGCGACCGGCTCTGCTGCTCTGTCCCCTTCTTGCCTGGAGGTGACAGTTCAGAGCCTTCTCTTCTTGCTGCTGTGGCTGCTTCCTTAGAAGGAATTTGGGTCTTTCTGGAGAAAAGATCTGAGCGTACAGTAGAACAGAGGCCTTGAAACTCATGCGGGAAGTTTCCAAAACGCTGCTCAGTCTGTGTCCCCGGCAACAGAATTGTTGATTGTAGCATAATCATACCTTCCTGTGTTCTAGCACAGAGCATCATGTGCTGGCCTCTGCTGAAAGATGCTGGGCAGGAGCCCCTGGGAAGAGGGTGCAGGGGGCCTGGAAGGGGTGTGCAGTGGGGCTTGGAGAAACCCAAAGGGGCAGATCAGCAGTCAGCTCCCTCCCACCGCCTCCTCAAGCAGGACTCCTGTCCTCCAGGTTACAGCCTTCTGCCCCCAGGTCTCAGACTAGCCCAGCCTTAGCTGAAACACCACTAGGCATGGGCAGCCTTCTCTGTGGCCAGAAGGGTGTGCACCCTCTCCTGCCAGTTTCTCTGAAGCACGGAAAGCCTGGCCTGAGGAGCAAGGGCCCAGCCAGACAAGCTAAAGGCGAAGCCCCTGCTCAGCTGTGGCAGCAGCTGTGGGACTCCCAGGGAAGCAGACAGCTGCTCGGATGAGGCCTACCACAGGAAGACCCATCTGTGCCAGTCCTACCATCTCTAGTAGGCTCCTGGAAACAGTCTAGACTTCCCTCCACAGAGGACAAAGTTGAGGCCCCGAGAGCATTTATGAGAGGCCCCCGGGTCACACAATGAAGCAGCGGTGAGGATCCTGCCCACAAGGAAGTTCAGCCGAAGTAGGGGAAAGCCCAGGCCACAGACCCATAGCAGCACAGCCTCCTGCAGGCGGGGAGTGGGGAGGAGAACGCCTGGACGTCTTCCTTTTGACCTAAGGTGTGTCTCTGCACACTGCTCCCGGGAGTCTGGTCTCAACAGACAACGGCTGCTGTTTCTAACCATCACTTGAATAAAAATGTAATGGCAGTTCCGTGATTAATATGAGGCCAGACTTGATAGCATGAGACAGGGAGAGGCGGCCTGGGGTGTTACTGCAAGCTGCCTCTGGTCACTTGTGGGCCCAAATCTCATGTCAGAATCAAAGCCGAGGCACCTGCAGGCCTCCACCGCCCTGCCCCGCCAGAATGCTGCACCGCGGGAGGCCTCGGCCTGGGAAGGCCTCAGTCTGGAAGACTGACCAAATTCAGTGATGCCGTGGCCTTGGGGCAGGACAGGAAGAAAACGAACCAGACATGGGAAGGGAAAGGGGCCCCTCACCCTGGGTTTGTTCCCCAATGGCTGAGAGCCAAGAGTTCCAACACAAATTGCTGGTGGAGCTGGTGGAGCTGGGATGTGGCTCAGTAGAGTGCCCGCTAGAGTGCCATGCGTTCAAAACACCCGTACACATAAAAGTAAGTAAAAATTACAGAGTAAAAACAAACACCCAAACCAGCCATGGTGGCTTACACCTTATCTGTGGGATTGTGGGGTATTCTAGGTTACACAGCATTGTGGGATACCCTAGGTTACACAGCATTGTGGGATACCCTAGGTTACACAGCATTATGGGATACCCTAGGTTACACAGCATTGTGGGATACCCTAGGTTACACAGAATTGTGGGATACCCTAAGTTGCACAGCAAAGCAGTGGTATTCCCTTTTATTTTGTAATAGATTCTCACTAACACCCATGAACTCTGGTAGCCCAGGGTGGCCTCAAAATTGAAACTTCCTTGTCTCAACCTCCCAAGTAGCTGGGATGCCAGGCCTGAGCCACTGGACCTGATTATTTTTCTCAATAAACCCTGACTTCGCTTCACAGTGACCTGTCCTGAAATTCTTTCCTGGCACTGAGGTGACAGCCTCAGGCTGTGCTGGAAGTTCCATTTAAGTTTCTACAAACTGTGTCCGGGGCCTGGGAATACTGATCAGGGTTCCAGGGCAGCCTACAGCGCGAGGCTCCTATACCGGTGGGCATCGCCAGCTCTCAGTCTCTTTATTCCACCATAGCAGAGGCAAGGTGCCCCATTCAGGGAACTGGGCTTTCCAGTCCACTGAAGCACACATATGGCTCCACAGTGACTAAAGCCCCACTCGGCCTAGCCTCCTGGGGTCGGGGCCAGCCTGGGAAAGACGTGAGGACACAGTCTCTTCTCAGCCTCACCTAAGCCTCTGGCTTCCTCAGAACAGGATGGAGTTAGGCCTTTGCTACAGCACAGCGCTGTAACTGCGCACCCTCCTGTGGACCTTCTGGAGCCCACAGTCCCGCTGGCATGGTCCCTGAGAGCTGTTTGGCCCTCCGCCCTGCCTCCAGGACACCGCGGCATGAAGGAAGTTCACCAGTGCTAGGACAAGGGATGAAGGGAGTTGAGGCTGAGGCCCTGGGTTCTGCTAATAGAGGAACCGAGAGACGCTCCTTTTGAAAAGAGAAGTATGTCATTGCCGTGGCCCCAGACACACAGACTCCCACCTCTGTCCTGAGTGGAGTGCCCATTCTCTGGAAAGCCGCAAACATTCCCAAGCTGGACTTCTACTAAATTATCTCAAATTTCTTTGAATTTTTCTAGTCTGGAAGGATTGAAGGAGGGGACAGGAGGCGGGGAATGACCTGCAGGGAGGTTAAATAGGTCACCTCAATGCTGGGCACCAAGACAAGCAGAGGGACCCATGAAGATCTTCACCCACACTTCTGGCACCATGATGTCACTTCGGATACTGCTCCTGGCTGCCCTGCTTCTGGGGACTTCTCTGCAGCATGCCAGCGCTGGTGAGAGCTGGGCACAGATAGGAGAGGGCAGGGAAGGAGCCCCTCCACCACACACACCAGCAGCAGAAGCACAAGGTGTGCGATTTATACCCTGTCTGTTCTTACAGAGGTCACAAGGGCTGGCATGAGCACAGGGTTGGGGGTGTGGCGCTGGGGATAGTGGGGATGGTGTTGACGATGTCAGGCACCTGACCTGGACACCTGCCTGGTGAAGAGCCACGGGCAGGCAGCACATCTTATCCTGAGATATGAGGACATAGTGGCCTTGGTTGTGGCCGTATGATGCAGAATGAGCGACTCTCAGATTTGCTCTCATTTGCTTCATTAATGGGCTTCAGGCATCATCAGGAAACAACATAAAGATGGAGAATTAGTTCCAAGAATGTATGAAAAGAGACTTTTATATTTAGTTTAGAAAGGGAAGTTGAAATAAGGTTCCCAGATACAGACAGCTGCGCATGCAATCACACACAGATGAATATACAAACACAAAGAGCCTACCCATGCACAGACACGCACACACACACCCCATGGTAACACGCACACACACACACACACACACACACACACACACACACACACACACACACACCAGGAAAAACCAGCTTACAGACAAAGAAAAGCACACGCAGTTATCGTCCATAGGTTCACACAGCCACACATGGGGACGCTCCATGGGTCCTCAGGCACATGCGCAGACCCTTCGGACGCCTGTTTCCTATTGCTCTTCTAGCTCGAGCCACCAACGTAGGCCGAGAGTGCTGCCTGGAGTACTTCAAGGGGGCCATTCCCATCAGGAAGCTGGTGACATGGTACAGGACCTCAGCCGAGTGCCCCAGGGACGCTATTGTGTGAGTCCCCCTCTGTCCCACTCTTATACCTCGGACCCAGAGTGGCAAGTGGGTGGGCCTTGGAGTGTCCAGGCAGGCCACTGGGAAAGAGGGAAGGAGAATACAGCCTTCTTCCCCTGAGCCAGCAGCTCTGGGCACTCAGGGGAGCTCTTATGCCCCACACAGTTGAGAGGGGTTCAATCTCTTCATTTATTTATGGTGAAATTGAGGCCCCAAGATGGATAGACATGCCAGGTGACAGAGCCAGTAAGCAGCGGTACAGTCACCTCTACTTGTCGGGCTTAGGTGCTCTGAGGGGCCAGGCATGAAGCCCTGCAGCCCTGGCCCTCGGGAGGCCGGAATGGAGTCAGGACCCCAGTAGTAAAGACTTGCTAATGGCATATGTGACTTCATCCAGTTCTGGCCCAGGGACCTCTGAGTTCAGGTCAACGCAAGTGTGACTGGTTGCAGAGCTCCGGAAGGCCTTGCTGTCTTCACACTCACTGGCTTCTCCTGTGTAGGTTTGTGACTGTCCAGGGCAGGTTCATCTGTTCAGACCCCAAAGACAAGCATGTGAAGAAGGCCATCAGACACCTCCAAAGCCTAAGGCAGTAGCCGGTGACCTTCCCCCAGGAGCATTTGGGGACTCCAGCACCGGTGTCCATGACCTCAGCCCAAAGCTGCCTGCATCCAGTGGAGACCTTAAGAGCCCAAGAAGAGCCACAGGATGGGAGTCGCTGTCCCTTTTTATGGACTCAAGCTACAGGCACCAAAAACCTCTGATTAAAGTCTTCTTCCTTAGTCTGGGTCAGTGTGTTCTGTCCCCACGGTGCAGAACCCCTTCCACTGTGGCTGGTCACACCGGAAGGGTCCTCATAGGACAACTGGTCCCACTCTGCCCAAGTCAGAAAGGTTAACTGAGGCTGAGGGAGAGACGCGATCCCATTCCAGTAAGAGATGGAACTGTGGAGACATGGGGCAGGGACTGGGCAAACCAGAAGTAGACACAGCAGGACCCTCACAAGTGCCCCCTCCTCCCTCTGTATTCCATGGAAAGTGTCCGAAAGAGTCCCAAGGAGGGCCTGTCTTCTCTGCACCCCAGGTCTCCCAGTCACCCCAAGACTACCCCCTATAATTGGCCCACACGAACCTGAAGTTATTTATCCTTCCTGTTCTGGACTCTGTTGCAAACATATCCGGACCTTCTGCGTGTGTTTGTCTTCCTGAAGGCCCTGTCCCTTCTCCTTCACTTCTGAATCCCCTCCCCGCAGCCTGTCTGGCTCTGGAAAATTGTCAACCATCCCTTCCCCTGCCTCGGCTGCCTCTCTACCGGAAACTTAGTTCTACAGCTAAGCTGCTTCATGGGGCCTTGTGTCCGCTGGGTTTTCAGCATTCCGATCACCTAAGCCTCCCCCACCTACTTCCTCTCCTTTGCCCCCAGCTCCAGCTGGCCCCTGGCCCCTGGTCTCTCCTGAGTCCCCTCTGTACACGGGGAGCATTGCACCAATGCTGACCTCACAGTCCGTGGAATTTCCTCCCAAGCTCTTAGGGACTGTCTCGCCGCCGCCGCCGGCCTCTGCTGCTGGTGGTTCTCCAAACTATGCCGGTGTGTGCTTGTAGACCTGGCTCTGCCATCCCACTGGGGGCCTCTACGGACTCTCTTAGACCACCCTGAGCCACTGAAGAATTGGCACAGGAGTCTGTCCAGTTCTAGCTCAAAGCTGGAGGGGTAGACTCTGGTATTCCAGGTCAACTTTGCCTACCCAGCATTCCTTTCTTTCAGGGTCAGGTTGTAGCACAGGCAAGGGTCTTCTTCTCTTCCTCGGACTCTGCCAGGTTGTAGGTAGTCTGTCCCGTCTGAGTTGCAATAGTGAGTTACCTCGGGGAAGATTTTTAACCTGTCGCTGTCACCTTGTGGCTAGTTTTGGCCTTGCAGAACAAACGCCAACTGTCCTGAATGGGGTGGGAATGAGACCAACACATACATAATCAGGAGGCTGGTGGACATGAAACGGCTTCTCTGGGAACCCAGGGTTCCCTCTACCACAGTGGGCTTCTCTCCCTTGAGGACCAGGGGTGTCCCTCCAACAACTGCTTAAGATTCTGAGTCCCGAGGCAATCTTAGCTTAGTCTTTGTGAAAAAATGGCCTCCGGGACTAGAGAAAGGATGAGCAGTGGGGTGGGAGAAGGCAAAGAGGAGCCCCTATTGAAGAAGAAAGAGCAAAGGCTGGGGCCTGAAGGCCTGAATCCTGTGTTCCAGAACCAGGGTGCCCTCAGAATATGCTGGCTCCTGCTTGCTCAGTCTTTCTTGGCTGTTGGAGTCTTCTAGAGACAACCCTTAGGTAAACTCAGATGGGCAGAACAGACCGCAGAGGCCTGTGGGAGGAGGCAGGTTTCCTCTGGGCCCTGAGGGGAGTAAAGGGCTGTCTCAAGGCCACTGGGCAGGGAATGTGTGGGGCCACAAAAGACAACAAAATGCAGGGTTCCGAACCCAAGTGATCAGAAGCAGGAGGTGTGAATGTCCACCACATTCCTGGGGCATTTTGAGGAACTGTGGCCTGGGGACTCTCGTAACTACCGAGAGAGGAACGGGGATGGGAAGGGTGGGCAGACAGTGAGGAGGAATACAAGGCGGACTTTGCTCCTTCTGTCTTGAAAGTGCCTCCTCTGTCCGTTTCTGAAATACTCACTGTGATCAGTGCCAGCACCCCCCCCCCCCCCATGGGACCTTCCAAAGTCTCCTTGGTTTTGTAGGCCACCCCCATACCAACAAAAACATGCCTAATCTTGGTCTCTGATAGCTTGGGTCAGCTAACCCAGTAAATGAATTGTTTATATACTGGACATTCGATAATATATTTTGTCAACCGTGGCTGGTTGGATTCCTAAAGGAACACTTACGGGGAAAGAAATTTCCAGAGACTGGCTTACACTGAAGATGTGGAAATTGAAATTGTGCAGTTCTCCGATTTCCCAGTAGGGGGCACAGTACTAGAGGACCAAGATTGACAAGGGAAACATCCTGACCTCAGAATGAAGCTACAGGCCTTAGGCAGGGGTGTCTGTAGCTGGTTGGATGGTCTCCTGGGGGAGCGGAGGCCAGGAAACTACCAAATACACAACCAGAGTGAGCAGGAATGGGGGGGGGGGGGGTGTTACAGGGACTTGGAGGACCACCAAGAACACTGGACAATTCTTCTATTTCCTTCATCTGTAACTGTCATCCGTTTATCACAAGGCCACAAACACCAGGCAGTGTTTGAGTATCTGTGATCCAACTTTTACAAGTTTTTAAAAATCATTATAAGCTAAGCCATGGCTTAGCTTGTAATCCCAGCACCTGGGAGGTGAAGGCAAGGGAATCAGGAGTTCAAGGCCAGCTTCCGTAACATAGTAAGTTTGAGGATAGCCTTGGAGTGTAGGAGACCCTATCTCCAAAAACAAAACAAAACAAAAAAGGCATTATAAAGCCAGGGGTGCTGCGGGCCACAGAAATATAGAGCAGGAATTCGGCCGACTATAGCAAAGGCTAGTACTTGGAAAAAGCAGGGCTCTTCCCGAGAAAAAAGCCAAGCCTCAAGGAGTCTTGGTGATATTAGCTTTTAGATATATATTAGCCAGTTCCTGCAGTGATTTTCTGTGTGCTATGATAGCTTTCCCAACTGGTTCTTCTTCTAAGAACTTCTAACAGTGTGTTTTATCTGAGTTACCTCTCAAACATCCAAAGACAAATGGCAGACAGAAATAGCATTCCAGACCACTTGCCGGTCTCCTGAATTAAGGTAAATATCCATATGGAGATACCGCCTAGGCCGGTAGGACAAGGTGGATGTTAGGTACAAATCTTTGCTTCTTGTGCAAATTAAGCTTAGCCCTTTCTTCCATAGCCCAAATGGTATCTCTAGACCTCCCCTTTTAACATCTTAACTAAGAACAAAAGAGCTTTCAGATACCATGTGCATCAAGCTATGACACAGGCTTCCTAGCTACCGAGCAGACTCACCCTGTCCAAGCAGAAAGCGGCAGGGCAGAGTATGGCTGATGCTAGGTGTGGGGGCACGGATCACGGGAAGAGAAGAAGAAGGAACGAAGATGGAGATATGAACGAAGACGAAGATGAGAACGAGATGGAAAGAACTTAGAACTAGGAGAGGACAGGAGGAGAAGGGACAGAGAGGAGCTAAGTATGAGAACAGAATTGAAGCTGTGTAGATAGAATTTTGTATCAGAAAAATAAAGTGAATGGACTAAAGAGTTTCATGTAAGTAGATTCATTTGATATACCTCAGATATCCCGCCGCTCAGAGCATCTTCCCTGGGACTCTGGGAGAAATCTACTCAGGGCAGGCATCTGAGGGGCTTTTGATACAGGGGCAGCAGAGCATAGCTATAATTGCGGCTACTTGGCAGACTGAGGCAGGAGGATTGCTTGCACCCGAGAGCAGCCTAGGAAACATATTGAGAACCCTTTGTCTTAGTTTTCCCTAATGATGTGATAAAAGACACTGCGACTAATGCAACTTAGAAGAGCTCACATCTTTTTGTTTGGTTTTTCAAGACAGGGTTTCTCTGTGTAGCCCCTGGCTGTTCTGGAAGTCACTGCAGACCAGGCTGGCTTGGAACTCAGAGATTCACCTGCCTCTGCCTCCCGACTGTTGGGATTAAAGGCAATGTGCCACAACCACCAGGCTCTGAGATCTTTCCAAAGACCTCCATTAACTTTTCCACCAAAAAAGCCATTCAAAACAAGTCAGTATGAAGCAGATTTGGTATTTATTAAGAAGTGGTTTGGTGATTAAGAGCACTGGCTGCTCTTCCAAAGGACCCCAGGTTGGTTCCCAGCACCCACACAGCAGCTCACAGCTGTCTGTAACTCCTGTTAGAATTCCTAGCCACTCCCCCAGCTACATGACCACACATGCGCTGTCCAGTAGCCAAGCAAGAGGCTTAGTCATCCCAGGGCCTTCTGTCCTACGTAATCCATGTACTTCGTGATCACGTAATTTGCTCTCAGTGTGATCACACAATCTATGCACATGCATAGCATAACTATGTAAGCCCATATGCGCATGTGCGGGGGGGGGGGGGGACCCTATAAAAAGTGGGTCCCACATACCCCTCCTCCCTCTTCCTGCTCGATCATTCCCATAGGCCTAAGCACCCCCTTCTGTGCCCTTCCCTTAATAAACTCTTATAGTGGGTTTTGTTGTACCTCGTGGCTTTTCTCGAATGGCAAACAGCACCACTTAATGAATAACAGCTGCAGTACCAGGGGATCAGATGACTTCTTCTGGCCTCCAAAGGTACCAGGAATGCATATGGTACACAGGCATACATGCAGACAAAACACCCATACAGATAAAAACACATTTTCCGAAGGTATTTTAACATAGATTTAAGCATGGGAATTTAGGGGGAAAGAAAGGCCCTTGGGGAATGGGCAGGACACACTGGAAACGTGGTGTGAATGTGTCCAGAGTTAGCAAGAGCCGTGCAGGTACAGCTTTAGGGACTTCTGAAGTCCAACTCTCAAGGGGTTTCCAGGGTTCTCTCTCCTCCTTCTCCCTCCCTCCTCTCCTCCCTCCCTCCTTTAGACTGGGTGTTACTATGTAGTCCTGGCTGTCCTAGAACTCAAGATCTACTTGCCTATGCCTTTGGAGTACTGGGATTAAAGGCATGTGCCACCATGTTCAGCTAGGAAAATTTCAAAATGAGATCATAGGGTGGTTTGTAGGGCGCACTGGAGAATAGTCTAGGCTCAGGAGATAAAGCCAGAGATCCCAAGGATTAAAGAAATCCTT